GGATGGAAATGAACCACCGGCTTGTGTCCATACCTCGCTGCGTTAGTTTTATTTGGAGACGTGAGGCCGTCTCTGTGGAAGATGCATGAGTTTTCTGTGTATTTTACATAGAGATGCTAGCATGCTACCGCAGAAGGACCATATGGGCTCTGGCTGCTGAGAACATCAGCGGTGCAGCGTTTGGGGCGGGAGGGGGGGAATGTTACACATTGGCTGTGAATGTTGAGATGGGGCCAGTCCTCACTCACACAACTCTCAAATGCCTCTGTACAGTGTTCCTCCTCCTTTCATCCCTCCCCCTCTTTCCTCCTCCTCCAATAAATGATCCTTTTGTTCGAGTGTTTTTGCCGCGGTGGGCTGGCAGGCCCCAGCAGGACCAAAACCCCAAGACTACTGGACTCTCCTGAACCTTTTTTTTCTCATGTACTCTGTAATTTGCGCCCTCCAACTTACTTTTTTTTTTTCTTATTTTACTCTTTATTCCTGCATTCATCTTTCCTCTGGACAGCTTGCATTCATCACATCTACTGCTTGTCCTCGCTCCTCTTCTTGCCTGATGGATTTTTGAAATTCCTTCCCTCCCTTCTGCACTATTGTTCAACAATTTTTTTTTCTTTTGCTGAAGACGTCCTTTGTCTTTCTGCCTCCCCACTCACACTGCATTTCAGCACAGTCCTTTAAGAGCAGGCACGTTTGGAAAACGCATCTTGTTGTTTTGCAGCACCAATGCGAGAAAGAAACGCAGACATGGAGAGATGGTACATAACGTCCAATCTGTCAACTTCTACACAGAAAAATACAGTTTTGAAAGGATTAATTATCTTGTCTGTGTCAATCCAGTATGTGTGTGTGTTTTTTAAGGAGTTCAGATCTGCTGTAATTACAGGGCTTTTTTTCCAGCAGGCACCAGCTTGTATAGGAAGAGACTGTATATGTCTCAGGGGTGCGTTCTTTTGGCTCTGAGGGGCAAAGGCTAAAATTGAACATCCGTAGTGGGACGAGAGCCAGAAACACTCCTTTTGGACTCCAGTTATGCAATAAGTAGCGTTTAAAAATAACCCATCACAGTTGGGGCAATGAGGAAAAGGCAGACTGAGCTACTTCAAACCCAGTTCGTCTTTTAGAATAACAACACAAAAAATTAAATCAGTTGCAACAAATTTGGGTGAATTTTATGGAGACAGTTTGAGCATCTGTGCTGCGTTTTACAGATGCTGAGCCGGTGTCGTGCTGATTTATTTATTTATTTTATTTTTTGTCCCGTGTGATGGAGGAGTTTGGTGACCTTCAGCAGAACTGAGTGAAACATTAGATTATGAAGTGGAGAGGATGTTTTTTTTTCTTTTGGGGACAAATTAAATCAGTGATCGCTTGCAGCATTTTCTCCAGGAAAACCATGTGAACGAATTTTATTGTCTTTTTCCTCAGAGGCCAATTATTTTATTTCTTCACCATCTGGAGGGAGATCTCTGTTCCAGTCCCAAAATAACCTGTAGCTCCTAAAATTGCTTCCCAAAATGTGCTCCATAAGGATGCCTTATAGGAATTTTCAACCAAACATATCGGTGGTATTCAGTTAAGCCTAGATGTGATTGGTAAGTTGAGGTATACAAAGCCTGCCATGCTCTGATTTAGTCACTAGGTATTCTCCTCATCTTACCCTGAACTCTGAATGAAGTTATTGGCATGAAGTTTGACTCTTTGGAGAGGCAGCTTATTATTTTAATTCATTATTTATTTGCCACCACCTTCCTCAGTGCATGGCAAGTAAAACATTTGTAAAGAAAAAACTGTTAATGGTATTATTTTGTAACTGTAAGAAAGTGTGCATACGTTAATGGACGATGATGTCAGAGACGTTTCTTAGATTCATGATAAACTGAGTTTGCCGCTATAGATTCATGGTGGACTTTCACATATATTAATATGTGTGACTGACAGTTGCAAAGACTTCGTGGTTCTCAGCTGATATCCAAAAACCTATGTTAACTAATTACAGTCAGCCAAATTCATCAACCTCATGATATATGAACTACAGGTGTACGTGTTTCTCTTGTGTTTGGATGCACACTGTGGGACGATGCTGTTGGTCATTGGCAATGTCACAATGAGGGACAATGGGGGAACTGGACTACGGAGCAAATCACCCAACCCTAGCATGCACCTCC